CCCCAAAACCCCAAAACCCCAAAACCCCATTTCGAGAGGTTTTCTTTGAAAATTATGATAAAACTTATTTGTCTTCTTCTTCTTCAGACTCTTCTCCTCCATCTTTTGCTGTGCCTATATACACCCCTTTAAGGTCATAAATGTTGCCTTCTTCATCCATGATGTACTCGTTGTCATCGCCTTCTATGTTGATTTCTCTGTATCTTTTGCCTTCAATAATGAGCCAGTCTTCTTCTTCGTCATCTTTATCCTTATTTAGGGTTTGCTTTAGATTTTTCCTTCTCTCTTTCAAAATTTTCCATATCTATTGAAGCTTTAGCTTGATCGTTTGGGTCTGAATCATTCGGAGGAATCTTACTTCCTTCTTCGGGACCATGAGACTCAAACTCAAAATCAAATCCGTAATCATCATCGATCTTCTGGTCCTTCTTTGCCTCCTGTTTCTTCTCTGGCTCACCAAAGCCATCAAGATCCAACAAATCAAATTCATCATTTTTAGGCTGAGGCTTATTCTCTAAAGGCTCTAGCTTCCCCTTCTGAGGATGGTCCAAAGGCTCAAGAGCACTTTTCTTTGCCATTGGATTCCCAATGGCGCTGTTAAGGCCTTTAGGCTTCTCAATGTCATCGAAAAGGTGGCTACCTTCTGATCCATTGAAGACATTCTCTAGGCCGCTAATTCCAGAGTTATTTAAACTCCTCCCGCTGACCAATTTTACCATTTTTCTTGAGGATCATGCCTATTAATTTTGTAACCTGATCTTGGCTTATCAGGCTAGAATCGAAATAATAGCTGTGTTCCTTGAATAGAAAATCGGTCACTGAATTAGCAGTGGAGTCAGAGCCTATCTCAAGAGGGATATCACGCCAAAATTGGTCTTTGTCGCTATGATCTTTAAAAATGATAAACAACACATATTTTCGGTGGGTTATACTTGACCAAGAACTGGTCAGGCACAGCTGGGATCAGACTGAGTCCGAGAGACTGGACACCAACCTTGTCGATGTCCATCTTCATCATCTTATCTGAAATATGTTGTAAAGAATTAGCCATTTCTCAGAGAAAATAAATTATATTTATAGATAATCCTTGCTCATCAATAATTTTAAGGGATAAAGGGGTTTTGGGGTTTTGGGGTTTTGGGGG